CAAAGTGCAACGCCTTCAGTGCACGATTACACTTCCGGTTAACAACTTCATCCGGATGCCCAAAATCAGCTCTGCCCCAAGCCTTAGCCACCACCCTCCAGGAAGCAGGATAACTCATCCAAATGTCTTCAAATCGGATCCACCGAAAATTAGAGGTCATGCCACTGCCCCCCAGGTTCAACAGAAGGGGGTAATGGTCCGAAGCGAGTCTATTCAAGTGCCGAACCGAGGAAAACGGAGCTGCACCAAGCCCATCCGTATTCATAAGGAAACGATCCAGCCGTACCCAAATACGGCTCCGTCCCTCCTTATTGTTGGACCTGGTGAATTTAGGTCCGACAAATCCCAAGTCATGCAAGTCAGATCTCTCCATGAACTCTTACATTTCCTGGACACCCGGAGAGAGCCGAAATCGCTTCCCTCCTTTCTTTTCATCTTGAGACAAGCAACAATTGAAGTCGCCGCCAACGAGCATAGGGCCACTCCCCGACAAGCTAGTCTCAATGGCATCTGAAAGTTCGTTAGGGATGTTAGGCCCTATAGAACTAACAGCTATCATCAAAATCATAAGCCATAGATCCGCAACAGCATCCCAAAGCTGTCTCCGGACATGGTGGTCCTTGTTGGCATAAACCAACGCCACCCGCCAAGGCTGCAAGTTGGGCAACACAACCGTTCCAGCTACACATTGGCTCGAAGCCAAAGAAACATCAAACCTCAGCAAATCGCCCCTCCAAAGAGCCATCAATCCACCAGATTTACCCACCGAAGGTTTGTGGAAGAAGTCCCAACCCTTCCCCACAAGCTTATCAACATCTGCACGTCCAAAGGTCTCAACCTTAGTCTCAAATAACCCCACAAATAGAACCTCATTGGAAGCAATGAGGTGCCGAAGGAAGTGGCTCGTATTTTTCTTCTGAGCCCCCCTACAATTCTAGAATAGGATGTGAGTCATTGATCCACCATAGGGTAAGCGTCCCCGCCATTCAAACCAGGATCACCTTCCTTATGCCTTTTCCTTGGCCCCACCGCAATTGGTCCGAGAGCCTGGAGTTCCTTGTCAAAATGGGCCTTCGATGCTCCAAGCTTGGGGCGGTCCTTCCCCACCCCAGCCGAGAATAGAGTTGGCACTTTAACACCAAGTTTGCGCCAACTCGGTTTGTGATTCTCCTTGTTACTTGTCCTCGACGGCTCTCTAACTTCATTGAAATTCACTTGGCGTGGCACATTCTCACGGAGGGGCTTCGCCTCCACCACACCCTGGGCTTTCTTTTGCTGCATAACCTTTTTCTTCCTTGGTGGAACAATATTCCACTCACCAAACAGCTTCTCATCCTCAAAGAGTTCAGGCTTATCAAGCTCGGCAATCGGCTTAAGCGGCCTACCCGCAGGCGGGGTGGATTGCACATCCGGAGTAGCCCGAACTGCAGCCTCCTTGTGAACGGAGGGACACTCAGCTTCCACCGACTCCGACGCCGTGAGCATCTCCGTAACCTGCACCCCCGGGGTAGATCGCGGTCTGCTCATCGAAGCCACACTAGATCCTCCGCTGTCAAGGACAGCTTTCCCTTACCAGCCCCCGCTGGAGTACCCACCAAACCAGCTCCCCGCACCTCTCCGCGAGCAGGACAGCTCTCCTGCCGGTGCCCAATTCTGCCGCAGCCAAAGTACGACATGCCCAGGCCGTCATACTCAACTCTTTGGTAGAACCTGCCTTTCCACCTGCTGGTGGAATTTTGAAAACATATTTTAAAAGATATTAGTCTTCTTTGGGGATTTTAAGATTAAGGTTGAGCTCTGATTCTAAGGTCAAATCAACTCGTTAGAAAGAGTATATCACCCCGGGGGACAAAGATAAACTTTCATAACGGTGTTCAGACTTAGAATTATGTAAACTCATTTTGAATATTATGATCAGATCCTAAAGAGAACTTCATATGGCCCCGAAGGAACAAAGTAGAGTTCAACTAAATACCCAATTACAATATTCAAGAAGTATGATCGTCGCATTCACATCCAAAGCCTTATCAAAGGAGGATGTATCTCCCCAAAGGGAAATGACACCATCCTACGATAATTCTTCTAATGCAACG